TTCCTCCTCCTCCTCCTCCTCCTCCTCCTCCTCCTCCTCCTCCTCCTCCTCCTCATCATCATCCCTCCCTCCCTCCTCCTCTCCTCCTCTTTTCCTCCTCCTCCTCCTCCTCCTCCTCCTCCTCCTCCTGCTCCTGCTCCTCCTCGTCGTCTCCTCCTCCTCCTCTCCTCCTCCTCCTCCTCCTCCTCCTCCCCCTCCTCCTCCTCCTCCTCCTCCTCCTCCTCCTCCTCCTCCTCCTCCTCCTCCTCCTCCTCCTCCTCCTCCTCCTCCTCCTCCTCCTCCTCCACCCCCCCCGCTCCTCCTCCTCCTCCTGTTTTCCTCCTCCTCCTCCTCCTCCTCCTCCTACCTCCTCTCCTCCGCCTCTCCTCTCCTCCTCCTCCTCCTCCTCCTCCCCCACCCGCTCCTCCTCCTCCTCCTCCTACTTTTTCCTCCTGGTTCCTCCTCCTCCTCTCTCTGTCCTCCTCCTCCTCCTCCTCCTCCTCCTCCTCCTCCGTCCTCCTCCTCCTCCTCCCTCCTGCTCTCCCTCCTTCTTCCTCCTCCCTCCTCCTCATCCTCCTCCTCCTGCTTTCCTCCTCCTCATCCTCCTCCTTCCTCCTCCTCCTCTTTCCTCTCCTCCTCCTCCTCCTCCTCCTCCTCCGCCTCCTAGTCCTCCACCCCCCGCTCTCCTCCTCCTCGTCCTGTTTTTTCCTCCTCCTCCTCCTCCTCCTGCTTTTCCTCATGTTTTTTTTCCTCCTCCTCCTCCTCCGCCTCCTCCTCCTCCTGCTTTTACCTCCTCCTCCTCCCTCCTCCTCCTCCTCCTCCTCTTCCTCCTTCTCCTCCTCCTTGTTCCTCCTCCTCCTCCTCTTCCTCCTCCTCCTCTTCCTCCTCCTCCTCCTCCCCCTCGAATTTCGCGGATTGAGGGCGGTTCATTTTCATAATGTGGTTCTAGCCTCAGCGCCGCGCGCATTTATATTAACATCAGCAAAGGCTTCACGGATTGAAGGCGGCGCGTTTTCAGAATGTGGTTCTCGCTTGAATTTCGCGTGCATGTTCTAAACAGTTGCACCAGTTTTAGGGATTCAGGACGGTTCGTTCTCAAAGTGTGGCTCTCGCGTCAGCGCCGCGCACATTTGTAGCTTCAAAGTTGAAAGAGTGTTGCAGCTTGAGGGCGGTTCCTTTTCAAACTGTGGCTCTCGCCTGAGCACCGCGCACAGTCGCCTTACACAGGTCCAGCAACAGTTTCGTTTATTTTCCTGGCTAACTAACCAGAGCTGGTGTGTTTGAACGACTCAGGGCGCAACAAGTACGTTGGCTCGTGGTGCTGAAGTCCCAGGAATGGTGTTCTGGCAAAATTCAGGATCGTCAAGATGCAAAAATCAAGTTGAACCGTGGCTTTGAAGTCTTGAGAATGGTGTTTTGGCGCGTTTCGGGGCGTTCACACGGTTGTTCTCCAACGGGGCATTTAGCAGAGATGAATCATTGTAGGGTCCCATGAAGACGGAGTTTGGAGGGAAGGCGTATTCCAATATCGTTGATGAGTCTTGGGTTTGCACTGGTCCTCTTCTTTTTCTTCCTCCTCCTCCTCCTCCTCCTCCTCCTCCTCCTCCACCTCCCTGTACGAAGGATCCTAGTACAACGAGTCGCACGCCTCGACCTTCCTCGCGGCACGGCGCGGCGAGCAGGGGGTGGGGGTCAGACTCAGCCGAGCGGCAGCGGCGGCGTTGCCGCCGTGTCGCTCGGCGGCATGGCACATCGTTCGGTGTCATGTGGTGGCGTTCGTCTCAGCACTTCCTCGCGGCGGGCTGAAGACGGAGAGAGCTTATGGCACAAGCAGGATGAAGAGGAACGAGGATAACGAGGAACGATGAAGGAAGGAAGAACGGGAAACGAGGAGGAGGGGGGGGGGGACGGCGAATGGGAAGGATAGGAGGAGGGGGGAGAGGGGAAGCACGGGCAGCAGCAGCAGCAGCAGCAGCAGCAGCAGCAGCAGCAGCAGCAGCAGCAGCAGCAGTTAGTCGCAGAAATAAGAGCTGCAACAGGAGAGGGAGGATCATGCGGATAGGAGGAGGAGGAGGAGGAGGAGGAGGAGGAGGAGGAGGAGGAGCGGAGGAGGAGGAGGAGGACGAGGAGGAGGAGGAGGAGGAGGAGGAGGAGGAGGAGGAGGAGGAGGAGGAGTAGGAGGAGGAGGAGGAGGAGGAGGAGGAGGAGAAGGAGGAGGAGGAGGAAGTATCGGAGGAGAGGGATGAGGAGAGGGCGGAGGAGAAGAGCGGCCCACATGGAAAACAACGCCGCCCAGACTGAAAACAGCATGTCGTCCCAGATCTGTTGGGGAAGCTTGAGGCTCGACGAGCCCGGGCTTGCCGACGCATTCCGACGGGGCCGCCACGAATCTCGACGGCCCTTGCTTCGTGAGGCAGTTGCAGCCGCTGCCTGGCCGCCATCCTCGCCCCGGATCCTCGCCCTCGCATGGGGGAACCAAAGTGCACCGACACTGCTACTTCCCGGACCTCTCCAGGGGTGCGTTCTGACCAGGATCTCGAAGCGAATTCAGCGGTGGCGACGAGGGCCTCTCAGGAGGCCCACAGAGGGGAACACAGGGGACGGGTAGGGGTATGGGTGCCTTTTCCTCCTCTGATCGCAGCCGCGGCCGCCGTCGGGCCACCCGTCGCTCCCCGCCGCGCCGCCGCCCGCGGCCGCGGGGCCTCGGCCAGCGACCGCCGCTCGAGCAGCGCCGTGGCCTCGTCGGAGCCCAGCGGGGCCCCGCCCGCCGCCCACCAGCACCTCCTCCTCCTCCTCCTCCTCCTCCTCCTCCTCCTCCTCCTCCTCCTCCTCGGCCTCCGCCTCCTCCTCCGCCTCCTCCCTCCTCCATCCTCCTCCTCCTCCTCCTCCTCGGCCTCCGCCTCCTCCTCCTCCTCCTCCTCCTCCTCGTCCTCCTCCTCCTCCTCCTCCTTCTCCGACTCCTCCTCCTTCTCCTCCTCCTCCTCCTCCTCCTTGCCATCCCGAACCTCGCCAGCTGGGTCTCGCCATTTGTCTGACGGCCCCGCCAGGCAACCTCTCGAGCCCCCCAGAACTCCCAGACCTCTTCGCGCCGTGGCATGTTCCTGGCCAAAACCCAAGTCCCAACCCCATATGCAATTGTAAATACCTCCGTTGTGAGCCCCGCCTTCGGTGGAGCTCCTTGTGGGGCCACGGAACGCATGAGCGGTGTGCCGAAATGAGTTCGGTGGCGCCATGCGAACCCTGCCAGTGGGGCTTTCGGTGGAGCTCCCTGTGGGGCCCCGAAACAAGTGAGCGGTGTGCCGAAATGCGTGCGGTGGCGCCATGCGAACCCTGCCACTGTGGCCTTCGGTGGAGCTCCCTGTGGGTCCACGAAACGTGTGAGAGGTATGTCGCAATGGATGCCATGCGAACCCTGCCACTGGGGCCTCCAGTGGAGCTCCCTATGGGGCCTCGGAACGTGTGAGGGGTGCGCCGAAATGGGGCGGTGCCGGCATGCGAATTTTGCCACAGGGGCCTTCGGGGGAGCTCCCCATGGGGCCACGAAACGTGTGAGAGGGGTGCGCCGAAATGGGGCAGGGTCGCCATGCGAACTTTGCCACTGAGGCCTTCGGTGGCCACGATGCGCCGAAATGGGGCGCGGCCGCCATGCGAACCCTGCCACTGGGTCCTTCGGTAGGGCTCCTTACAGGACCACGAAACGTGTGAGAGGGGTGCGCTGAAATGGGGCGGGGTCGCCATGCGAACTTTGCCACTGGGGCCTTCGGTGGAGCTCCCTGTGGGGCCCCGAAATATGTGAGGGGTGTGCCGACATGCGTGCGGTGGCGCCATGCGATCCCTGCCACTGGGCCTTCGGTGGAGCTCCCTGCGGGTTCACGAAACGGTGAGGGGTGCGCCGAAATGGGGCGCGGCCGCCATGCGAACCCTGCCACTGGGTCCTTCGGTAGGGCTCCTTACAGGACCACGAAACGTGTGAGAGGGGTGCGCTGAAATGGGGCGGGGTCGCCATGCGAACTTTGCCACTGGGGCCTTCGGTGGAGCTCCCTGTGGGGCCCCGAAATATGTGAGGGGTGTGCCGACATGCGTGCGGTGGCGCCATGCGAACCCTGCCACTGGGGCCTTCGGTGGAGCTCCCTGCGGGTTCACGAAACGGTGAGGGGTGCGCCGAAATGGGGCAGGGCCGGCTTGCGAACTTTGCCACTGGGGCCTTCGGTGCAGCTCCCTATGGGGCCACGAAGCGTGTGAGGGGTATGCCGAAACAGATACACGCGGAGAGGAGAGGCAGGGATGGGAGAAGGGGGGGGAATGAGGCGGGAGGAGGACAACACGGGACGCCGTCTCTTCAAAACGAGGACCCAACATCACAGGACGGTTGGGACAAAAATCACGACGTGATGTTTTTCACTATTTTCTGCCCGCGGGGTCCCTTCCTGGACCTCGGAACCGTCAAGAACGATACAGGATGAAAAACCGGTGCAGGGGAAAGGATCCAGACATCTGGGGGTCGACTTCATGAATTTTCCTGGCTAAGGACACAACCATATGCAATTGTGAGTGCCGCAGTTATGAGCCCCGCCTTCGGTGGAGCACCTTGTGGGGCCACAAAGCGCGTGAGGGGTGTGCCGAAATGGGCGCGGTGGCGCCATGCAAACCTTGCCATTGTGGCCTTCGGTGGAGCCACGGAACGTGTGAGGGGGGTGCGCTGAAATTGGGCGTGGCCGCCATGCGAACTTTGCCACTGGGGTCCTCGGTGGAGCTCCCCATGGGGCCACGAAACTTGTGAGGGGTGTTCCAAAACACGGGTCCTTCGGTGGCTGCTCTATAGGGCCACGAAACGTGTGAGGGGTGTGCCAGCATGGGTGCGGTGGCGCCATGCGAACTATGCCACTGGGGCCTTCGGTGGAGCTCCCCATGGGGCCACGACACGTGTGAGGGGTGTGCCGACATGGGTGCGGTGGCGGCGAGCAGGAGGTGGGGGAGCGGTTTTTAGAGGGGGAGGGATTCGTGGGGAGGGCCGCCCGCGTCTCGACTCGGCCCAAACTCCCAGGAGCGCTGCACCTGGCGCTCCTAGGCCCCCGCGCGCGGACATAGCATAGCCCAATGGCGCCGCGGGGCGCCGCGGCCTGACCACCGGGGTGGGGCCGATGCTGCGCGCGGCCCTGGAGCAGGCATTCGAGTGCGAGGAGAGCGAGACGCAGGACTCGGCGACGCGCAGAGGGGGGGTATGGGGGAGGGGGGAAGGCTTCTGAGAAGCACCCCTGCTTCTTAGAAGGCGCGGGTCTTCTCTGTGGATGAAAGGCTGGCGCCTTCTGAGAAGCAGCCTCCTTCTAAGAAGCCTTCCACCCTCCCCCTACCCCCCTGTGCGCGCCGCCAGAGGACAGCGACGACAGCGACTCCTCGTCGACAGAGGACGCAGGCCTCCAAAGCATGGGAGAAAACTTCCGCGCGGAGGCGCTGCTCCGTGTTCGGCCTGTGGGGGCCCTCGCCGGGCGCCAGGGCCGCCGACAAAACTACTCGGAAGGAAAGGCCAGCCCCTGGGAAGGGGTCGGGACATCTGGTATCGAAAACATCAGAACGCTCGACGTCTGGGGACGGCGGGGAAGTGATGTCTCGGCCGCCATTGGCGTGCTGGTCTGAGAAGTGCAGGAGGAGGAGGAGGAGGAGAAGGAGGAGGAGGCGGAGGCGGAGGAGGAAGAGTAGGAGGAGGAGGAGGAGGAGGAGGAGGAGGAGGAGGAGGAGGAGAAGGAGAAAGTATCGGAGGAGGGCCGTGCGGCAATGACGACGACGACGACGACAACGACAGGGACGACTTCAGTGACGTCCTCCTCCTCCTCCTCCTCCCCCTTCTCCTCCTCTTCTGGACAATGTTTAGCAGATGCGAGGGGAACACACGTGGAAGAGTGAGGGGGAGTTCCTTTTGCCGTTCCTCCCGCGGCAATTCAGGCGAGCGCGTATGGCGTTGCTACGCCTGTTCACTTGTATGCTACTCGCGGCGCGTGCTGGCACTTGGAGTGCCCAAGTGCCATGTCGGCTCTGATCGCTGTAGCCATTGGTGTGTGAGCCTTAGTGCGAGTGAATCTGAGCGTGGATGATCTATGTGTGTGAGCGAGTCGGAGTGTGAGCGGATTTGGGTACGATCGAGCTTGAGTGCGATGGGTCTAGATTAAGTCCGTGTGAATGCGAGTGGGTCTGAATATGAGCGAGTATGAATGCGAGCGAGTCTAAGTGCGAGTGGTTCTGAGTTTGAGTGGATTTGAATAGGGGCTAGTCTGAGTTTGAGTGCGATGACTTCAAGTTTGAGAATGAGTGAGCTTGGGCGCGAGGTAGTCTGAGTATGCTTGAGTTTCAGGGCTGGTGAGTCTGAGCGCGAGTGCGTCTGAGTGTGCGTTGGCGTGGGCGTGGGCGGGTCTGAGTTTGAGCGAGTCTGGGCATGAGCGAGTGAATATGCGTGCGTTTGAGTATGATCGAATCTGATTGTGCGCGAGTCTGGCTGGGAAATGGTGCTGGTGAAGAAGTCCGAGTGCGAATGAGTGTGTCAAACGGGTAAAGGGGGAAGGACATACATTAGTGAGTGAGGAGAAAGCACATCCACCAACAAAAATCAAGAGTGGCAGAAACAGGCAAACCGCCTGAGACATCCTCCCAATCGGAGCGCACATCCTGGAGCGCCATGTGTGCTTTATCACGGTGAGTCTTCAAGAGAAGTCTCCGGGGGGGGGGGGGGGGGCAAAACCGGTTGAGACATTCCACGCCATTTGAGCGCGAATCTTGGAGTGTCCCCACCCATGGTGGTTCCCCTTTGACGTGCCGAAGTGCCACGCCTGCAATATAGCTATCGCGGCGAGCACTGGGCCACAGAAAGAAATCAGGTTGGGGAGCAGCAGCAGGCAAATCGCTTCAGACGTCCCCACGATCTAGCCGCGAGCCCTGGCGCGCCCCCATTCCTCGCGGCTCCGCCTCGGGGTGCCCAAGTGCCACGTCTGCTATCTCGCGGTGGGCGTTGGACTACCCAATGGAAATATGTATGGGGGCCGGAGTAGGCACACCGCATGAAAACATCCTTACAACGTGCTCCGAAAAACAAATTCCGGGCACGCAAGCAGACAAACCGCTTGAGACATCCCCAGAATCCAGGCGCGAACGGGCCCGTGCCATACCCCCCTGGCGCGCCCCTTTGGGAGTGCTGAAACCAGCGCCTCGCCTGAGGCACCGTCAGCATCTGCTCCGAACGCAGAAGATGTTGGGCACGCGAACATGTCAACCGCCTGGGACATCCCCACAATCTGGGCGCGAACGGGCCCGTGTCATACCCCCTCTGGCGCTCCGTGCTGGCAGTGCTGAGACCAACGCCTGAGTAGGAGGAGTGTACGTGTATGTGTGTGTGTGAGGCAGAGCGAGAGTGAGTCTGAGAGTGAGGAAGTGGTCTGAGTATAAGTGCGTTTGATTATGATTCATGATTGAGCTTGAGTTTGAGTGAGCCTGGGTGTGAGCGAGTCGAAGTCTCAGTGAGTCTGGGTGTAAGCGAGTTTTAGTGTGAACGAGTCTGAGTGTGAGTGAGTCTGGGTGTGAGCAAGTCAGAGTACGACTGGGTCTGAGTCAGAGTGAGTCCGAATTTGCGTGGTTTCTGACCGACCTCGAGCGAGGACGAGGAGGACGAGGAGGAGTTGACGGAGAGGTTTTCGGAACCGTTTAAGCAATTACTCGACGCGGACATCCCCATATGTACACCGTACTCCTGCCACGTCTAGCAGAGGAAGTCTGTCTGTGAACATCGAGGTATGACAGCGAGTCTGTGTAGACGGTGGGTGCGGCGACGACAGCAGTGGCGATGTCACTGACGTCTTCGTCCTCTGTTGGACATGTTCCAGGGGAGGAGGGCAACACAGGTGATGAACGACGGAGCATTGACCAATCAAAATAGAGAAAACTTTGACTGGATCTGGGCACGAGTGATCTGAATGTGAACTGTGAGCGAATAGAAGTGTGACTGGGCCCAGCAAATCGTGAGTTTGAGTGTGAGCGTTTCTAGGTATGAGAGATTCTGAATGCGGGTGCGACTGAGTATGAGTAAGTCTGAGTACGAGTGAGTCTGCGTGTGAGTGGCTCTGACTGTGAGCACGTCTGAGTGCAAGTGGGTCTGGCTAAGAGTTTGACGAGTCTGACTCTGGGCGCGCGTTAGTCTGAGTGTGGGTGGGTCTGGGTGCGAGTGGGTCTGTGTGTGAGGCTGAGTACGAGTGAATCTGAGTGTGAGCGAGTCTGAATGTGAGCGAGTCTGAGTATGATTGAGTCTGGGTGTGTGTGAGTCTGAGTGTGCTTGAGTTTGAGTCAGAGTGAGTCTGAATATGAGTGAGTCTGAGTGTGGGCGAGTGTGGGTGCGAGGGAGGAAGAGGAGGAGGGAGGTAAGGAGGTGAGGCGGCGTGATTGATCTGAGTGGGAGCAATTTGCATGTAAATCAGTCTGGGTGTCGGTGGGCCCAGGATTGATTGAGTTTGAGCGTGATTGAGTCTAGGTATGAGAGGGTCTGGGTACGGGCACGTCTGAGTGTGAGTGAGTCTGTTCATGAGTGAGTCTGTGTGTGACGGTCTGAGTATGGGCAAGTCTGAGCGTGAGTGGGTCTGAGTACGAATGACGAGTCTGAGCCTGAGTCTGGAACGCTTGATGGGGCCCGCAGCCGTTGCTGATACCTTGCTGTTGTCGTCGTGCCCGGCGCGAACCAGCCGCGACCCATCCAGCGACCCATCCCGCGACCCACCCCGCGACCCACCCGAGACCCACCTGCGATCCGCCCGCGACCCACCCCGCGCAAGCCCCGTCACTCTCATCCGCACTTGCGGGGTTCCCACAGAACACCGAGCCGCAACATGTACGACTGGTTTGTCGTATCGGGAAGCAGGGTGGCGCCCAGTCCCCAGAGGATGACGCGAAAGCCGGCAGCCTGCGCAGCACCTGCTTCGTGTTTGCGGCCATCTTCTCAACCACCGCGGCGCTGGACGTTGGTTTGGTGCTCCTCACCAGCTCGATGACTGACGTGGAGGGGACGGGAGGGGGAAAGCAGGCTGGTAGCCGGCGCAAGGCCCAGGTGCTCCGCATCGTCCTCCCAGGAGCCGCAGTTGTTATATACAGCAGTAGCACTCGTAGTAGTGGTAGTCGTAGCAGTAGTAGTAGTAGTAGTAGTAGTAGTAGTAGTAGTAGTAGTAGTAGTAGTAG